TAGTTGGTGTTAACTGGATTTCAAAAGACTTCGGCTTTTCTTTAAATTATTAAGCTAATATTTTACTTTTCACTTTTGTTCATTTTTTATGTAATAATTGCTTTTATTGTCATTTTTCATGAACTTAAGACTGACTTTCTTTTTGTGAGAAAAAAAATAGCAAAAGAGCCGTTTTAAACCTGTTAACATTTAAAAGAGAGAGAAAGATAAAAAGAAAAAAATTTTTTTTTTTTTTAAGTTAAGTTTTGTTAACAAAACACGAACAGAGGAATTTAATTTCCTCAGCAATCAACGGACACGCAGAGGCCAGTCTCTTATTGTTTTTACGCCTCTTACTGTCTACTCTTCCATTATTCCCTACTTCCCTAGTTCACAATAACAGTTTTCTCTCAGAGTATCTCTTATCGTTTTTCAAGCACACTACCACCTAAACTTTCCTACGACTTTTTTCACCCATTTACCCAAACAAAATAAGTGTATTTACTTTTTAAAGAAAAACAGAACATTTACGTTCGTCCATACACTTCAAGACCTAGGTTGGTCAGAATTTAGTGCGTATTCCTCGCGACAGTAAAGAGGAAATCCAATATTGCATTCCACCAATATTCGAACTAACGGGGTCAATGTAAATTATATCGTTTTGTTTTTTCTTTGTTGTATATGTGATACACTTTATAAATATGTAAATCTAATCATTGAGTACATACGCTTGACTTATAAATATTTAAAATCGACAGAAGATTTTAATCATCATAGTCTTTCATTTTTAAATTAAAGACTATGATTAAGTATTTATCGAGAAACAGATCCGTTTATCGGTTTCCTGATGGGGTATAACCATGCACCCTGTTTTTAATTGTTTGCACAGTAATAGGTATGCTCATTCCATATTCATATTGTCGATAAGCTACATTACATAAACTGTAGATAATTTATAAATACCATATTTTGTATCACTACTGTGGTACAGTTCGATATAGTAAATCATTTATAGTGTCAAAATACAGGAATCACACAAATTCGAATAATAATACCTAGGAACTTATGTTAATAATATAATAGAGTAACCACATGATTCTGGTCCAAAATTCATGTGCATAAAACAACTAGAGTTCGCGTACAATGTTTGCCTTTAAGCAATCGTGTTTAAGGTTTTATTAAAAAAAATTTAAATTTTTCAGTGAACTTCACAACCGAAGAATCTGCTGTATACCATAATTTATTATACTCCCGAATCATTAAACCGGTATTTTCGGAAGAGGACACAGCGGTAAATCCCCGAGAACTCGTGGTAATAATCATATACGTCCCGGAAACGCCTTTGATTTAAACACGCGCACGCGCGCGCTCTCTATATTCTCTCGTCTCTCAGTCTTGTACGCGCGGTACACGGCAGTATCCATTAAGACTGTTGAGTAGAACGATACACCGGCGAGCTTGGCCGTTCAGGGTGACCAAAAAAAAAAACTCGATCGACCAAAAATTAAACGTCAATAACGTAGGTTCGCCGGTGTAGTAAATATTATAATGTTACGTTGTGCTTACATCGTGTCGATAAAAACGAACAAACGCGATAGTGCTGGTCGTGG